TTAGCTCACGCTGAACGTCAGGAAGGTAGCCGCGATCATAATGAGCAGCATTTGTTCCCGAGTATAGTTCCTCGAAGTCACTTTGCCATCTATCCAGTACAGAGTTTATATCACTGACAATCGTGCTATCGTGTAGTTCTACTTCCATAGGAATCTTAGGCTTTCTCTCATTCACTATTCCAATATTACCAATGACCTTCCAAAAGTTTGCATCGGCTTGATTAAGCTTGTCAAGTAAGCTTTGCTGTTTATCCACTTGGTGACGCCGCTTCAGCTTTCTATTCAGTCTGTCAAAAACTTTCCTCTCAGCACAATACGTTTGCTTCAATTTGGCCTTGGCATTTGTACTGTATTTGCACTGCAGCCAGTCCCGTTCACACTTTGACATAATGTCCCACTGTTGCTGAAGCTCCTCACACCAATAAGGCTTCCTAGGCCTGAAAGACTTCTTGTTTCCACGATTTGGTTTCTTGTCTTGCAACACTGGCAGCTTGAGATCCATTTCCTTATGATGACATAAGGAGACACCAGCCATCCATGAACCGTGACCAGGGAACCTATCTGCCCAATGCTTGGATCTTATTACTTTGATTACTTTGATTCCAACTGGCTTCCATTTCAACTGCTATTACCTATCAGTGCTGAGTACCCCCTGTTTCCCGTCTGTCCATTGTCAACTGCTATTACCTATCAGTGCTGAATACCCCCTGTTTCCCGTCTGTCCATCGTCAACTTCCTTTTTGCCAACCAGTGATGTGTAAGTCCTGGCCTCCAGATGTCCATCCCCATCAGCGCTAATTAACTGTTAAGTGTTGGCTTCCAATTGCCCATTATATGAGGACTGGATATTTAGCTACAGCTGCAAAACCAGATACATGTTGTTGTTTTTTAATTGAGACTATGAGACTAAATTTTCTTTTGAAAAAAACAAGTCAGGCAGAGCAATTTCTTCTTTTCGAACAGTCTGAAGCATAATTGTTTGCTTTAGGCAGAAGATCAAATGATCGGTCCCTCAGAATAATTTCATAGACTCATACATTTCTCGTTTCTAGGAACTCCTTTTCCGCAATACAGCTGGTTGTTGTACGACTGTCTGTGTAAACATGATGCCACACATACTGAATAAACGTGTGTACATACATCAAAGAGATATAAAAAATATAACATTGATTTTCACTTTGCATGAGTTTATTGGTGTTGATAAAGTTCATAAAGCTGCCCCTCACTCTATAAAAGTGCATACTCAAAGGAACACGCAGCGTGAGGTTTCAAAAGTTCAGTTTTATCTCCATTTTACCCTAAAAAAAAAAACATGAACTCTTTGGTGCTGACAATGAGTGACCCGGCATTGGATGGATGTCCCATTGAGTTCAAAGTTTTGATAGATGGTTTTCTATCCGAATTAAGGAAGCACCGATACCAGCCTTAAAACAAAAAATGACGCTGTATGCTCAAGCATTGTGTATTTTTATATTATTAAAAAACAATTCTTTTTTTTGCTAATTGTGTGAGTGGCAGGTGCTTCCGGTAGGACAGGACATGCTTACCCCTTTCGCGAATACCTGGTGTCATCACTTATTTTCATTGATCCATTCATTTAATTTTCAAAACTATTTTGCCTTCCAATGGATTTTGTTTCGCTGGATAAGTGAAACTGATAATTACCTGGCGTTGACGTATTATATTCACTCGCATATATTACAGACATTGAAAGCATATAGCTACTTCGTAATCCAACATAAATGGGCACCCCAAAAGTGAAGCAAGCCTTGATAGGTTTAGCTCTGCACCGCGCGTCACTATTATGACGTCACACTGTAAACTGTTTCATTGTACCGCAAGTTGTGTCCTCACTGCCGGATACAGAAAGGCGCAAATTTTGAAGCTCAATGTCGTCCAATAAACTTGAAATAACCTCTCTAAGTCGATTTCTGTCCCTAAAACTATTGCCACACATACTTTGAACATTGTAGTATCCGTCACTCTGCAGTTTCTTATCAATAATTAAACGTATAAATTGGCAATGCAAGAGAATAACCAGTCTAGATTATCCGCCGAAACAGAGTTCATAGACCATAGCAGTGAAAATTATATTTAAAAAAATTATCATTATTTCAAAATGTCTAACAAAGTTAACGACTGGGAAAGAAGTTCCTTTCTTCAAATATAAGCTTCTGAGGTTGATCTGTTCCAAACACTCAGAGACATGCCTTAATTATACCTGTACCACAACCAGGTGAAAGATCCCTCACTGTGGGCATCGTATAGACCAGTTTTCCTTACCTCTGATTTATGTAAAATTACGGAAGGACATTTCCGACCGCTGACTTGTGATCTCCTGACAGTTACGGGCAGCACGAGTAATTCCGTCAAAATCCGACCGTCTGATGGCTTTTGATGCGGGGAAATACCTGGGCGGGAGGTTTCATCAATGTACGAGTCCCCACAGTCACAATACATTTAACAGATCACTAGTTTGGGGGATTATTTGTTGGAGCTTTATTAATTCCCATTTTACCACAGGTCGCATACTGTTTGCCGCAAAAGTGAATGATGGAAGCCCAAAGTTGTTCTTTAAGCTCTGACGTCAGTGAATTGTAATCTCGTTTAGTCACATTATCAGTGGAATATCGGGTGCACATTAGAGTGTTTTCTTATGGATAAACTTTAAATACACATACGGTTATAATATTTCATTAAGGTTAATACAACCAATCGTACATTTATGTGAAATTGTGTAATTAGGGGATAAGGGAGGTAAGAAGTAGGGATCCCCATGGGCTCCAACTGTGCTCCCCCTTCTTGCTGGTCTGTTTCTGTATGATCTGTATGATCTGTATGCATAGATATCAGAATTCCGCTGGGATTGGCAAAATCAAAACAAGGGTATTTGGCCAAGAAGTTTAACTCAAGCTTCGGGTATATCGATAATCTGATATTGTTCAATAATGTTAAAATAGCCAATTCCCTTCCGCAGACTTATTCACCGGAACTAGAAATAAAAGAGCCCAGACAACCTGTTTCAAATGTAGATCTATTCAGTGAGATTCAGAGTGACAATACCGTATGCACGTAACGGAGCGACAGGAGGGATGACTTATGCTTTCCAAAAGTAAGCTTTCCCTTCATGTCGAGCTCTATTCCAGCAGCCCCAGGCTTTTGTGTCTGTATTCACAACTCTTAAGGAACAATCGAGTATGATCTTTGTACGAAGATATCTTAGAGCTCTGAACGACTCTTGCCCAAACATTGTTTGATCAGGGTTAGAGCACCCAAAGCCTAGGTAAAGCTTTGAAAATGTTTTATGATAGACTTGTTGGGGACATTCACAAATTTGAAGCATCAGTGACAATTATTATATGTCCAATACAATTCTCTGTTTTGACCATACCGTCTTTGTTCAGGTTAACAATAGACTAGCCTTTACATTTGTTTGTGCTTCTGGTGTAATCTTCAAAATAGTCATAGTCACTTTCCTGTCAATATATGTAATTAGAACTAAGATCATTGATGTATATTGCTGTGTGCCCACTTCTCAGCGAGTCATCGCAAGAACTTTAAAACGGGTACTGATAATGTGCCACAATCTTGCAACTTACAAAACCCAGATCATCCAGCCATTTCATCCGAGACTGTGCTAGGGTAAGAGAAGTGACTCTCAGCAGTGACGGGGAGCATGTTGATTGTCTCTGTAGTTGTTGGGTGATTTGTGTATGTGTTATGACTATATAAATCTATTAAATGTAAACATACTGGTACAAGTATTTCTCAAAAGAAAAACATCGGTCCGAAAACAATCAATATGAGACAATCAGTCGCACGATCAGTATGACAATCAGTCCTATGATCAGTATGACAACCAGTCCCACGATCAGTATGACAATCAGTGCGACAATCAGTCATATGATCAGTATGACAACCAGTCCCACAATCAGTATTACAATCATTGCGACAACCAGTCCCACGATCAGTATCATAATCAGTGCGACAATCAGTCGCACGATCAGTATGACAATCAGTCCTATGATCAGTATGACAACCAGTCCCACGATCAGTATTACAATCAGTGCAACAATCTGTCCTATGATCAGTATGACAATCAGTGCGACAACCAGTCCTATGATCAGTATGACAACCAGTCCCACGATCAGTATGATAATCAGTGCGACAATCAGTCCTATGATCAGTATGACAATCATTGCGACAACCAGTCCTATGATCAGTATGATAATCATTGCGACAACCAGTCCAACGATCAGTAGGACAATCATTGCGACAATCAGTCCTATGATCAGTATGACAATCATTGCGACAACCAGTCCCACGATCAGCATGACAATCAGTGCGACAACCAGCCCCACGATCAGTTTGATCAGTAAGACAATCAGTGCGACAAGTTCCCACGATCAGTATGATAATCAGTCCTATAGTCAGTATGACAAGCATTGCGACAACCAGTCCTATGATCAGTATGATAATCAGTGCGACAATCAGTCCTATGATCAGTATGACAATCATTGCGACAACCAGTCCTATGATCAGTATGATAATCAGTGCGACAATCAGTCCTATGATCAGTATTACAATCATTGCGACAACCAGTCCTATGATCAGTATGACGATCAGTGCGACAATCAGTTCCACAATCAGTATGACAATCAGTGCGACAACCAGCCCCACGATCAGTTTGACAATCAGAGCGGCAACCAGTCCCACGATCAGTATGACAATCAGTATGACAATCAGTGCGACAACCAATCCCAAGATCAGTACGACAATCAGTCCCACAATCAGTATGACAATCAGTCCCACGATCAGTATGATAATCAGTCGGGATCGTTCTACACATGCTAGACCAATGAATGTTGTCAAAAGACACTTTCATTGTCAAACAAGTATTTCCATCGTGAAAACGGAATAATTCAAAAGACGCATGACTGACACAAAACACATTGTAGTTAGCTGTAAACAGTTCACATAATAAATGAAGGAAAATCAGATGACTTATCACGCTTTATTTCCAAATTCCGATTAAAAGTTCTATTTACACACAAATCTTGAGGACAACAGACCGGAACACACCATATATAGTACATATGATAAATGGCTTAAACGCTGAAGAGTATTAATCAATCGGCAAGGTAACTAGTCTTTGAGACGTAAATGCTCACGAAAACCGATCTCTCAACAGATGAAACGGTGTTATAAACCAGAGAATTAAAGACTGAAACATATGAACAAATTTATTCTTGGATTAAATTCTAAACATTGCCAGAAGGGATCCTTCTTGTAATGAGGATGGCTGGTGGTGATTCTTTCACTGCACTGCTGTCAGGTAAAGAAAGAAATAGTTCCTTTATGGCAGTCATGTGTCTATTAATTTGGATACAATAACTAAAACACGTGAAAAGTAAACAAAGATAGCTATGGGTCTTTTGTAGAGTTTGGACAACGAATTTGACAGCTAAGTATTTGTTTTCTTTCAAAACCACATATCTTTAAACAAGTGGCATTACACGTGTATTGTGATGTGCAAATAAGGTCGCTTTGCTACTGACCTAACCGAAGAGGTCAAGCACATGATAAATATTATCAGTTCACACAAGACCATTACAAATTAGTTATCTGCCCGTAAGTAAGCCAGTTGACCATGGCAACAGGTTTCGTTTTTGCGGCTATCAAGTTTATCAGATATCAAGTTTCCGCAAATTTAAGACTTTAGTACACTAGTACACTACATGGTTGATTAATAAAATACTATCCTAAAAGCTTTTTTTAAAGAAACTGATTAGTACATTTCGGGGAACATGAATAATTTGTTGTGGCCTAAGGTGTATACCTGTAAAACATGCATTGCCTTTTGCAATTCGCCAAACCTTGTATTTAGAGATGTTCAACTCAATCCCTGATTAAACGTAAATGAAAGAATAGAACTGGAATTATTCTGTCTTAATGGGATGCTAATGATGCATGTGATGCTGGAAGCTGCTTTGGAACGACGGATATATCACTGGTTGATTACATACAGATTAAATATTGGAATTGTTTTATTCAGTATATTATGTTATTTGCCACTGATATATATCTGACTAAACTATAAGACCTATAAACTATAAAACAGACATTTGATGAAACCTCTGGTTGACAGGGTTGAGACAGAGTCCAAAAGATAATCTCTGTTATGTTCACAATGCGTTATTTGTTATGAGAGTACTTGTATACAGCATTTGACATCTTCGGATTCGTCAGTCATACGTATCACAATGTCTAACTACCTTCCTATTACATGATATGATGCCACACGATATCAATACTCCACAAGCTGTACAAAAAATGAAAACAATATTTTCGATATAAATGCGATTTAGAATTATAGTGTGCTTATAGTGTACCAGTCAGAACGGAATTCGACTGTAATATTTGTGATAACAATATATATTTCTATCTGGTTAATAACACTTTAAGTACTTATCAAGAACGATTTTAACGACTATTCATTAACTTATATAAATTGATGAAATGTTGATATCGTATGCATGTATGGTTTAATGGAATATGAAAAAAACCGACTAAAACTCGTGTTAAACTTAAACTTAACAAACGTTAGAGGATTAGTCCATATGATTATGTCGGAGTTATCTGAGTAGGAGCGAGTAATTATTGTTTAACGCCGAGTAATTTTTGTTTAACGCAAAGTAATTATTGTTTAACGCCGCATCAGCATCGGAGTCATCTGAGAGGAACAAATACACAGTTAGCAAATCATGTTCACACTGCTCAGTCTTGTTTCTAGAATTCGATTTCAAAGCCAAGTTTCGAGAAGTGATTATTTGCACTGCGTACAATGTAGGGTACCAAGCAGGATCGAGAAGACTTATCTGTGAATTTCAGAATACACACAAACATACTAAAGTGCAGTCAAAATCGTTATTCCAGAAAGAAACCCTTCTGGACAATGATTGTTGAAATGCTTATATAATATAATATCAGCGATAATACGTATCTACGATTCCCTAATCTGGACGTAATTGTACATTACATCTGAACGGGTTTCACTTTGAAAAAGGCTTCGTGAACAATATCACAATTTGATTTCATTTGGTTTGATATATAACTATTACACATGCATACTTTCTGGTACACTATTGATGAACAAAGATGAATGGTGTATATATCACTGATGAATATATACATCAAGGATGAAATATCACTTCTAGGGATTGCCTGGTTTATGCAGCAATGGCCGATCTGAAGCCTTTGGTCGGCTTCTCCTCCTTGAAGCAGCTGACTGGGATCAGGGGGTGGTCGCTGCGCATCAGGTACGTCTGGAAGGTCAGGATCATAATTGAGAAGTTTGAAAGATGTTTCGACTAGTCATAATCAGTTCCCTATCCCTACACCATTCAACAGATGAATGATGCAATATGTTATTTGTTTGTTGTTTAAACCCATAACGGTCTGTAAATAATCAAGTCTAGATTATTCAACTCCTCTGTTCATAAATTGGATTTGTCCGACATTGCCGCGAACGGATTGTATTCAGGGAGTCATCATTATTTAAATACGGGAAAATATTTTTAAAGCTTGTAAATGTTATTAACCACAGTTAGGGTATTGATGTTGTGTGTGAGTGTGGACAATATCAGACACGGTCTTACGAAATAAACATATAATCAAACGTTCAGAATCTACTAACGTGAGCGTATGTCATAGCATTCTTCTTTTCTGCTGTGGTGGTTCGGCGTCCAATCCAGACAAATAGCTCCGCCTTCGTGTCCAGAATAAACACATCCTGAAAGCCGATAACAATACAAAAGTACATGATAACACTTAAACAACATATAACGATATATTTAAATGGGAGAGTCATCCCTTCCCGCGTCGTACCAAAGGAAGTTGCATGATGGTACTTGTTGTTTCCTCGTATAATAATTCACTATAATGTGTCTGAGAGAGGTATCCACGTTAAACTGCGGCATGGTATCTCAGTGGGCCAGCACTATCAAACCGTCGTAAGTCCCAACAAGTACAAGCAATCACACACACACGTGCATCAACATCGCTGTTTTAGTGAAATAAGCCTGAAGGCGAGGTTAAACACCATTTCATCCCATCACACGTCATAACGAAATCTAAACCATGATTACAGTCAACAACAGTGTCCTGTGAACAAAAATAACAATCCCTTCCTTGTCTTCTCAATCAGCTGTCATCCTAATGCATTGCATTATTGCTTTGATTTAAATATCCCAACGCGAGTCAGAACGCGAGTCAGAACGCGAGTCAGAACTCACCTTGCTGTCAAAGTCACCTTCTGTGACCTTGCCAGATTTCTCCTTTGTGAAGGACATTGCGCCAGTGGCGTCGGACAACCTGAAAGGTCATGGTTGAAATTAAATAAAAGGTCATGAGTGAATCTTTACGCCATACGCAATAATTTAATATTGTTATCATGGATGACTGTTATGTAAACGTGGAATTGACTTTACAAACATATAGATCACTATTAAAGTGTTACTCTCCTATATGACTGAAACATTGTCTATGCAGTCGATGATCACTTCGAGAACTCCCACATTATCAGTACACATCGCCATTTCAAGTAAAAACAATTTAACAATCCCAAAAGAGAGCCTTAATATATACAGATTGCCCGTATCATATACAGACCTGTACAACTCTGTGGTGGAGTCGCCAGCCTCATACTGGGAGTCGGTGTCCTCTTCATCAGCTTCGTTCAGTAGACCATAAAACTCGTGCTGAAGAAAAACAGGATTATTTAATTATCAACATATTTTAATTATATAAACAAGCACTTCATTAAATATGAATATATCATAATATCCGTCTTTCAGCTTGTGTCGCCATGCCTGCTTTAACTGATTGTAAAAACGATTTGGGAGACTTTGCCAATCTCATCAAAATCAGATCTTACTTCTCGTTACCACTAAGCAAAGATCCCCTGGGAAGTCCAGACGTACACTCTTTGTCATCTATTAGACATTCCAGAATATTTTCTTCAAATTCTGAATCGAGAACTTTTTAAAAATATTTTGAAGCATAGTCACGAAAGCGAGTCGCCAGTTTGAAACTAGTGCCTGTACTGTGATGACTTCAGATCTTTGTTTAGCAGCAGCGAGAACATCTGATTTTAATGAGATTGGCGCTTTGCATCGGAATGGCAGATCCGATAGCCTGAGAAATAGTTTAACTTTGGATTAAGTTCGAAACATAACGGAGCCCTGTTGGAGAACACAACTGGATTATGCAGCCAAATCAGGCTATAAATTTATGGTGTGTCTCAAATCACGTCTGAGAGGCTTACCTGTGTCATGGTTTGAGGATAATGTGGCGTTAACAATGGCGCTAACTGACTATTAAAGTCCAGGAAACTAGACCTTTACAGTCTGTTAACGCCCTTGGCTCCTTAAGATGGTGAAGTATTGACAATTAAGGGTGAAACGATACACCGATATTCCGATGCATCGCGATACTTGACCCACGGTACGATACACGATAAACGTGGGCCCATTTATCGATACGCCACGATACGGAACGCAAATCTCAAGTACAGCGTTTCCTCGGTATTGTGCCTTTCAATAAACCGCTTACTTGGTTATAGCGCGCTAACGCATGGCTCCCAAAAACGTACTTACATTTTTAATAAGCTCAGGTTTTACACCGACAGATGTTTTTCCCCATCTCATAAAACATTATCAGCTGATCACCGCAAGCACATAACACCGAAAATACAAGTCAGCAAATCCGAACTGAAGTACGCAATTCAATACCATTATTATACTATCTTGTTATTAAAACGTGTTCATTGTATATCTGGACTTGTGTTTGTAATATATTTTATTAATTTTATTCAAAATTTCATTTAATATTGTTTTCATTAAGTTATGTGAAATCGTGTGTGAAGAGATACAGCAACCACGGTCAGATTACCGCTTTTGACGCATTGAAACGAACTTTAGTTGCTAGAGAATGGATACGTATATCAAAAATGCCATACTTTGACTCTTTAAAAGTCATATTTGTGGCAATTTGGCTTATATATGTCAACATAACGTTATCGCAATCGAAATACATGTAGCACGGGAAGTCCCTAGGGTGACTGGTCAAATTGTTCCATATGTAAAAATATCCTGCAACAGCAATCACCAGTACCAAAATGCTACACTTGTGGTTCTTATAATTATAAATATATAATTATATAGTAAAATCTGCAACTAAGGTATCACGATATTGGAATAAATTATTCCTGATAAAACAATAATTTCAGATACAATTTCTTCGACCATTGCATCAACATTCTTTGAAGTTGTATCACTGGTGGAGTACATGAATTATTTTCTGGTGTTTGAACTTTGAATTGTTTTGAAGTAAAGTTGAACAACTTCAGTAGTCTTGTTATTATGAAATAATTTTGACTGTTCCAAAATCATGAAAGTTTCAATCTTGACATGCTTTAAGTCTTGTTTTTTTATCATTGCGTATCGAGATACGTATCGTATCGTGACCAGAATATCGAGGTGCGTATCGTATCGTGACCTTCCTGTATCGTTGCAGCCCTATTGACAATGAACAAACGTTGTACAGTTTCAGTACGTCACTATTATGTTGACAACGCAATCTCCAGAAGCTACAATTTCACGACTTGAATTGTCTTAAACACAATGCAAGTACATTGTATGAGGCACATGTACACATTTTTTTATACATATACATGTATTTCCTTGCATAAAATATATATTAATGTAATTTATATTATCATCTAAATCGTTCATAATGAAATAACGATCATAGAACGAGGAACATGTCATACACAACTCACTTCCCAAACGAAAACTGAAGTAAAATATATATATGAAAAAGATATACAGCTCATCTGGACAAAATCGTACGAACATGGACAAGAATTATTATTATTGTGAAATCCTATGGTGATCATATGCAAATGCAAATACAAGTTTAGGCTTGAGAACAAATTGTTTTTATCACGTGAACAACTACGGAATCTGAATTCAATAGATAATCAGCCATGGAGCTATATTATACGATACTGTGACTATCACTTTATACGTCAGGCCGACAAATATATGTACATTTAAATAAGGCTTCTAGAGAGACATTAGAAATTTGGTGAGAGAACGTGAGAGAATACCCCAGTGTCATCCAAATTCACTTCTCTCACTCCGTTACGGAAATGAACATGGAAAAAGGTTCAACTATGAAGAGGGAAATATGTCACGATTGGCCAGATGAGCTAAAAAACATCCCAAAATTATACTTTAAAAACACAGCTAAACTCAAAACAACACAAAAGTATAATAGATGTAAAGCATTCTTCAGTACCGTGACCTTGACCATGAAGTCATAACTTACCCTAATCTTCCATGGCTGTGAAGGTCAAATATAGTAATGGATATTGGAAAAATTATAAATAGTCCGTTTCCTATATCTCATGTCGGTGAAAACACAACATAACACATAAACAGTATCCATATGTGTCAACTAGCCATCTCACTGAGCATGTACTAACTAATGACATTCGTTAAAACTCTCAAATATTTCACCAATCTCTCAGTAAAAACAGTTTAATCTTTCCATGATAGAGTAATCACACAGACAACAAATGAACTTTAAAAGAAACATTGACACGAAGAGGTGTTTCGTTTAGTTGGTTGGTTTGTTTGTTGTTTAACGCTGCACTCAACAATATTCCAGCTATATGACGGCGGTCAGTAAATAATCGAGTCTGGACCAGACAATCCAGTGATTAATATCATGAGCATCGATCCACGCAATTGGGATCGATGACATGCATCAACCAAGTCAGCGAGCCAGACAACCACCAGTCAATCGCCTCTTACGACAAGCATAGTCGCCTTTTACGGCAAGCTGGGTTGCTGGAGACCTATTCTACCCCGAATCTTCACGGGTCTGTTTCTTTTAACTTAGGCCGAATCAGACTAATCTTTTCACAATACGTTATACAGAACCAATGTTTTCCCTTAACAATCTTAAACATTATTTTACGTCCTTTTTTCATCCACATTCATACAATGTAGGGGACGGGAGTTACAAATTGTAGATGTTTCATGGCCCAGTCAGCAAAATCATCACAGCTGAAGTTGACATCTAATCTGGATTGAAATTCAATAAGGACCTAAAATATTGACACTTACCGTCTGGTCCATGCTGTGCTCATCTAGCACCTCCTTAGTGATAGCCTTCCCTGACCTCTCCTCTGCCAACGTCTGCACATACTGCATCGCCTACAACGACGAAGACGACGATGTTCACAACACAAAGTACACTGATTACCAAAGGTCCCTCGCTCAGTCCATCGGTGAGTGAGGGGGTGAGTATGGTTTAGCCCGCTTTCAGCAATATTCCAGCAATATCACGGCGGGGGACACCAGAAATGGGCTTCACACATTGTTTCCATATGGTGAATGGAAACTGGGTCTTCGGAGTGACTAGCCGACGCTTTATAACCACTAGGCTACCCCTCATCGGTGTTGCTTTCAAATTAGAGTTGTTGTTTGCATGACGAGACTAAGCTTCACTTCTACCTCTAGTTGTGTGTACAATAAAATGAATAATAACAAAGTTATCGAAAGTAAAGGCTTGAAGTGACCATAAAGTACTCTATGCACATGAGAACACATGAAAACTACAACAACCAATTATAAAGCAATTACTTAGCGCTGATAAAAAGGTCATATGCCAGTCGAATACATTTTTGACCTGACATAAAGTTAATAATCTATGAACAGACGCCTTGTCAGACAACGTTGCTTGCACCATTCTGGATCGTCTCACCTTGGTCTTCTCGTTGACATTGGCGCCTTTGCCGTTCCACTGGTAGATGGTCAGTCCAAGGTCCAGTATGTACACGTCAGTAGAGTCCAAGCGACTCCTGCACCGGGGAATCTGCAAACCAAAAGAGACTTCTTGACCACTGTCCATTACTCTTTTACAAAGGAACAGAAGTTACATGCTCACGATTCAGTTGGAATCGTACAATCGACCTTGCGTTTATCAAAGAATTCTTTCGGCCATAGAAAGGGTTTCTCGCATTATTATTATTATTATCATTTTTATTATTATTATCATTATTATTATTATTACAGTTTTACTGTTCTTGTGTGCCAAAAGAACCTTTATCGTTTACAGTATAGTAATTTTGTATATATTTATTATGTAAATGGGGGCCGTGGGGTAGCCTTTACATAATAGCGAGTGAGTGAGTATGGTTTTACGCCGCTTTTAGCAATCTTCCAGCAATATTACGGCGGGGGACACCAGAAATGGGCTTAACACATTGTACCCATGTCGGGATTCGAACTCGGGTTCTTTTGTCACGCTGAAGACCCGAGTTCGAATCCCGACATGGGTACAATGTGTTAAGCCCATTTCTGGTGTCCCCCGCCGTAATATTGCTGGAAGATTGCTAAAAGCGGCGTAAAACCATACTCACTCACTCGCTATTATGTAAATGTTTTGTTTACGGAGTTGTAGTTCACTTCATATCAATCATAACGCATATAGTTATAGGTCGCGAACACGATCCTACCTGCTTAACCTCCACATGCTTCCGGTCACCATGGAAATGGAAGAGTCTTGGTTTGTATTCTTCGGGTTTGACTGTTCTAAAGCCGCTATCAGCGCCCCCTTCGAGGATTCTGAAAACAAGCAATTTTTAAATTTTTTTATATTGTTACCAAAACACCTTTTTCGTGGATATCTTTTTCCAAACCACCGTCAATCTTTATCATCTTCTTTGACAAGTTCAATCTCACAATTATCAGGACTACCATAGTAGCGGGCAAGACTGAGCAGACTCACGTGATGGTCTTGAAATAGCTTTTGAACAGCGCCGACTCATGACCCTGAACCTCCCTGTGTTGGACAGGAACATCGTCCAGGAACGTGTCCAGCTCCACTGTCTTGTAGGCGGCGGTGCCGTACTCATCCTAAAAATAGTGCAATCTGTTTTGCTGAATACCATTTCAAACTTGGCATACAGATATGCCTACATAATTCTATATTTGTTATAATACCCATTAAAATATATTTGGGGGGTTAGACAGTCATACCAGACAAGGAAAGACGTTTCAGTCGGAGCAACTTATTCCGAGGCGGGTGTAGGTTATATAAATAGAATGTATTTGTATCGTGAAGTCTAAGTTCAGTGTAGGGGCTATAGGAGTGGAAGGTTGGTAGAAGGGTTTGTATGTTTATTGAATTCAAAAAGGGCTAGGGAATGTTGTTCGTATTTCTTAAATATTGCAAGAGAACAAATGTATTAGTGTTCTATTGGTGTGGTTGGAAACAGTGAAAGTTAGGTTTAACGCCGCTTTTAACAGTATTCCAGTTATATTGCGGCGTGTCAGCTTAACGTGGGAGGAAAGCCCGAAGTGATGCAGGTCTCAAACGTTCATCTTTTCGGTGAAACCCACAATCACGGGTATGGTGCTGACAAACCTAGAAACATAATCGGGGCGAATCGTGATTCGAACCCCCAATCATAGGTTTCTGGCGTGTCCAAGGGACGCAACTCTGCAAAGCGAATCGCGGCGCCTTAGACGACTAGGCCACCCGTGGCCCCGGTTGGAAACAGAGAAGGTAAGAACAATACATAAATGTGAAAACTTGTGATTGATGAAATAAAGGTATGATCCATGTCGGCAGGGTATGAAGTGACACTAATACAGCCAGGCGACGGGTATATATTAATGTAGTCAAGAAGTGAGGAGACTCACCTGGGTGCTGTACTTCCCGATCCAGAAGTGGACGTCGAAGAGAAGCTGGTCCGACCCGTCTTCTGTATAGGTCTGATAATGTACATATAAATAACCATTAGTGCGTCTACAGCCGTAGAACATCAAGGTGTATCAGCCGGTGAACTGCAAAACCTAACTTGAAACTGAACCCTGTACATTTAACTTTTTCAGAATAATTAACGATAAGAAATTACTCATTGTATTGACTGAAAGCATGTGCAACATTATTGGGTACATCTTACTACACATCCCCTTGTTTTGCAATGTACGAAACTGCAATACAATCACAAATGTGGCTGGGGGCTCGCAAGAAATGTACATACATCTGTAGAGGGTAAAGGATTTTACCGCGGGATTGCTATATTACTATAGGATTATCTCCCTTTACTAAAACTCCGTTAAAACAGTTGGAAAGGGTACTGGTCCATGTTTCAATTTAAGCTGAGCAACGAATCAACAATAATTTTATTACCGATAAAGTTGAACAAGTGGAACGCATACGACAATACTGCACACACTTTCTTGTAATATAACTGACATTAGGTAAATATAACACACTTAAGGACTACACGAGTTATGCTAAGGCGACATAAAAGAAAGAAATGTCATACGTTCAGGACAATATAAGAATCGCCATTGTAAAATTTGCCATAGTCTTCTTTGGGCCAGTCTGTAACTTGGAATTTCTGAAAAAGAAAAGTCATAATCATAACACATATGACGAAACTATAAATACACGAATATTAATTTGTTCCTTTTTGTCAAGTGTGGGCTAAGTATTGTTTTGTCAAGTGAGTGAGTGAGTTGGGTTTAACGCCGCTTTTAACAGTATTACAGTTATATCGCGGCGTGTCAGCTTAATGTGGGAGGAAAGCCCGGAGTGATGCAGGTCTCAGACGTTCAACATAATCGTCGCGAACCGTGATTCGAACCCACAATTATAGGTCTTTGGCGTGCCCAAGGGACGCAACTCTACACAGCGAATCGCGGCGCCTTAGACGACTGTGCCACCCGTGTCCCCTGTCAAGAATTCAAGAAGTTTATTCAAGAAATGTGTTAAGGCCATCGGCCAATTAGACATATTGGTTGAATCCATGTCATGTTGGAGAGAAAGGTTAATATATGTTATGTTAAGTCGAAAGTCTTACATTACACAAGGAATAAGGGTTTGGTTTTATCATTAAGTAGGGATGTACCTACCACAATTCTCCAAATCTGGACGCCAACTTTCTGTCCTGCTTTTTGCCAGGCTTTTTCTCCTTGGGCAGACTCCTCTTCAGGGATAAAATGATATTAATTAAAGAATCCTTTACAACTACAAAAAATGAATTATTAAATATTATACACTAAGTGTGTGACTGAGTTGGATACAACTCCGTTTTGTTCTGGGGTTTTTACTTGCGTATGCGAGGAAAATCGAAAGCGACGCAGGCCTGAGACATATATTTTATATCTTTAGTAAAAAATGAGTACGGCTGCAGTACTGACAAACTAAAGATATCAATCCAGATGAATCTGGGAAACGAACCCACGATCAGCGGATATTTGAATAACAAAGATATGGAACTGTTTGCTTGTTTGTTGTTTAACGCCGCGCTCAGCAATATTCCAGCTATATGACGGCGGTCAGTACATAATCTGGCCTGGGCCATACAATCCAGTGATTGATATCATGAGCAGCAACTCAAGCATTTGGGATACTCTGAACATCGATTTACGGTGTCTTACATTACTTAGCCGCCTGTTCCCCCACACAGGTGTTGTACAAATGTGCCTTGAGTGGTTTTGGTTGTGACTCGGATTGACTTACAACACAAGGGTTGGTATAAGTACCATGAATAAACAGAAATAAACCAAGATTGTGACACTTATCTGAAAGGTATTTCTGTTTATCAGTTCATGTTACTCTAGACATATACTATTTCAACCTTCAAGAACTTCTCTGGTCTTCTTGAAAAACGTTTACCGCTATGAGAACCGAGATAATGTTCCCAACAACGGCCGTGAACAGTACATATGAGGTCGGTGGTGCACAAACGCAGACTGAACAACAAAGGACCAACTATTGAATATTCGAGTGTAGCTGGGATTTTATGTTGAAGGAAGCGCTTCAAAACACACAGTTATTTTCAATGAAAGGCAGGGCCAAACAATGTTTTTTTCTAAATATCCAGCATGTCCATATTTTCTGACGTAAATAATTTTCCTCAAGCATTTTGAAGAACTCATTACTTTTTTAAAAGACACCCAGAGATTCCCAGAACAGCAAATGGTCGGCCACGAGGAAACGTTAGGAAACATTATTGGGACTGTTTCTTAAAAAGTCTAAACAACCCGCCCATGTCAAACGCCAGTTGTAAAAAAAGTCATATCTTTTACTTGAAGAGGCCGACCACTACAACACGGGTATTTATTGCATCGATGATTTATACGCTTTGAAATTTAGTATTCTATTGACCACTCAACATGTGCGCACAACGTTACTACGTGCAACATGCCATACCATATCTCGATACCTCTGTGCGTAGGCCTGAGTGGACGTGTAATGGGTTAAAATAACATTGAAATAAGAATCACTAGCTTTGGCACAACTGTTGATAAGGGTAAGAAGCATGGGCAACGCATCTCCATACAGTATGACAATAATTAGGTCCATGGTGAAGGCAGGAGAGGGGTAAGGGGTCGAGAACATTGGGTAGGCTAGTGGATGAACGGATACGTGTTTGGGTTATTATAAGTATATTAAAACAATACTTACTTTTGACCTGGCGTTCCAGATCAGAGCCGAACAGGGCAAGATTGGAATCCTTCCAGTCGTACTGCTTCGGTTTTATAAGGCCTGGCAACAATAGAATAGACATCGAGTGAGTGAGATTGGGTCTATGCCGCTTTTGAAAATTATTTCAATTAGAATATCACGGCGTTTCAGCTTATTGTGTGAGGAACTCCCGAAGTAATGCAGGCCTTAGACGTGTACTGCTTTAATGAAATCCACGACCATGGTTTGACACTAACGAAGCAATATAACGTAATGAGGGCTAATCTGGGATTCGAACCCACGATCATATGATACTGGCCCTTATAAGGAACGCAACTCTGAACCAATAATTGCGGCGCCACAGACGACTGGGCCACCAGTGCTCCGCGTATATAAAAAGTACAAAATAAACAAAACGATTAAAAAAGAACACATACGGAATAAGAAGGTGAACGGCAACGATGAAATCAAATCGGAGAGGACAAAACTTAAGCTGGGACATATTTCCCTTTGGGTCTGAACTTAAAGCTCAAGTAGCCAGCGTTACCCGTTTTCACTTATCAGTCAGTTATTGGGGAACAAGGATAATAATGTGTTTGTGATGGTTTGATTTTTAACACGTTCGCACATTGCGTTATTGCTATGCCTCAAAGTAAATCACATATAAAAGAGCTTACAATAAAAAGTATGCTTTTTATATAATTCAGGATACAATAGTTATATGTCACATATCCGATCTTTGTTATTCCAGTGTAGTTCGTGCGAAATAAAGACCTGACTTGACTTGACTTGACACATCATGTTTGTGCAGTAACAGGAACCATTTGAATGTTCACAAAGGGAAAAGCCAAGGGAAAGTACCTCAAGCGGATGTACATATGCTAATGTAAGATCAGGACGTTAATCATTTATGAATTCATGTTCAAGAATTTAGTTTCCTTAAAGGCTACGCACAATTAATGACATATATCTGCTTCTTTTCATCTATATGTTAAGAAAGATTACCTCCCCAAAGGTTTGTCATATTTTTGTTGCGACATTTCCTTGGCTACATATTATATTTCCCCATGATAAATAATTGCCAAACTAGCGCGTCAAGAAAATGAAATTAATTTTATACCAAATCCTTAATGATAGAAAACAAGTATTTTACAGTTCTGTCTTGATGTGAGAGTTTCATTTGCGTTCGGAAAAGATTACAAAATCAAGGAGTGACTCCTCTTGACGAGGGAGATGAACCCATGTTAGAATCGAACCTCTCAGATTTGGCTTGAGAACGCTTTACCCACCAGGCTCCCCAATACAGGAAGTACAGTAGATTCAAGTGAGAAGGCCGTTTTAGTGTTAAGTGTTAAGTGTTAAGGAAGTTTTAAAACAAGTAAATGTACAACATATGACACAGACACCGACACACACGGAAGCGGGATATCACTTGAAAAAATACAAAGACAGAAGCCAGCCATTCACAGAGACAAATGACAACTGAAAATTACAATATATCATTTCTATCATCCTTACCCATGCTTGCCGTAAAGGCGACTAACGGGATCCGGTGTTCAGGCACGCTGACTTAGTTGATGCATGTCATCATATCCCTATTGCCCAGATCGATGTTCATAATATCAACCACTGGGTTGTCTGGCCCAGACTCGATTATTTACAGACCGCCGTCATATAGCTGGAATATTGCTGAGTGCGGCGTTAACAAACAATCAAACAAAACTTGAACATTCCTAATATTACGAAAATCCTCCTTATCACAAGGATTCAGCTGTCACGGATATGGAAATAGCGAGAATGTCATCCCGCACTTGCACACTTGCTGGTTGAAGTTGAAGATGAGAAACATATAAATGAAATGTGCACGTGGATGGCCTTAGAATCTGTCTCCAGCATACTATGCACATCGTTCGAGAAAGCAAAATAAAATAGGTGGTCGGGCTCAGACATGGATGATTTCATGTCAACGTATTCCGTCGACATGGGGCATTGCTCATGATATGGTTTGGCTGGTCAAGACTTGATAAGTCTCTACCCTACGGTGGGCACGGGTGGCACAGTCGTCTAAGGCGCCGCTATTCGCGGTGCAGAGTTGCGTGCCTTGGGTACGCCAGAAACCTATGCTTGTGGCTTCGAATCCCGGTTCACCCTGATTATGTTTCTAGGTTTGTCAGCACTATACCTGTGCTCGTGGGTTTCACCGAAGTGGTAAACGTCTGAGACCTGCATCATTTCGGGCTTTCCTCCCACATTAAGCTGACATGCCGCGATATAACTGGAATACTGTAAAAAGCGGCGTTAAACCCTACTAACTCACTCACTCTACGGTGCGGCGTTAAACAACAAACCAACTTTGAGTTTTGAATGAAAACTGTACATCTCATTCACTGCGCATTGATGAGTGAATATTGTAGTCATCACATATCAGCATTTTGGAACCGATGAATGTACATATCATTATTTAAAAACGACTACCGACAATTACTGACGAAGAAGTGGTTATTGTGATTTGAAACCTTTGATTAATCAATCAGAATCGAGTTATTCCCAACTACATGGTAGAACGTTGGCTGACAAATTTAGACAACGACGAAGGTTACATACTTGTGTCTGGAGTAAACAAACTGGTGGCTGATCACATGACCCTTGACCAAGGCCGCAGGCGTATGATATGAAAATCAACACGTTCACACATGGTATTAACTTTAGACGGCTGTAACAAACGCAAAAAGAAAGAAACCACCAAACATATCGATATTATACATACCCGTCATGCTTGAGATATGTTTACTTTCACCGAGGTTTTCGTTGATCTACTTTGAATCTGAAAAAGGAAAAGCTGAATAAATATTGTGGTATGACATGATAAACTGGAAGAAAGGATAAAACGTCCCACACAACAATTATATTACACTATCATAAGCATGGCATAACATTTCCTTGTTCTCTGAAGGATACAAGCAAAATAGAACCCCTAACCCGTTAGGTCTCGCAGTGCAGTCGCCTACTGTGATATTCACCATCAATGATATGTTATCGATAACGTACAACCATATCTGTGGAGACCGCGACCGTATCAACCAATCACATTTACATTCAATTTACAAGTTGAGGTCACGTGTCTTTATATTTTTTCAAAAATCACTGTAGGTCGTTTACCTTATACAACTCGTACGACATTCACATGCAAATCAGTATTACATCACTTTAATAGAATGTTTACACGGAAACAGTTTATGAAACCCTGTTCACAAGGAGAGAAAAACTTTGTTATGAGGCAAATTTAACCGGACACAACGTGACTACAGCTTGAATTGTGTCCAGTTTGACTCCACTAACGCGTTAGTCATATAACCCTTGTATTGAAGTAAATTACTTCATTTTGAGTTTTAGAGATTTAGGATAACGTAACTTAATCCTTTGAGACTTAAAAGGTGTTGAAACCACAAGCATTACATATTACATATTACATATTACATGTATGTCTCCAATCCTTCATGTTAACTAACGACCACTATAGAAATGATATACTTGTTCATATTATTCGTACATGTCATCGTTTATAGTTCTAGTTTACACAGAAGCATGTTTCATATTCTACTGGGTCTCTGTAACGCTATCCTATAAAGTTATCATACCATGACAACAGTGGTTATAACGATCGGGTTCGCAATGCAGATCGCTTCACACTAGTATAGTGTTCATATCTTGTCGAGGCACAGATCGATTCCGCGCACCTTGCCTGCGCCATATGTTGAAATAGTCACCCTCACCGCGAAACTAAGTACATTCGCCAAACAACAAGTGGTTTAACTTCAAGGCTAGCGCGTCAAATGTATTTATAAGGTATGAATTAACAATCGAATACAAACTGCCACGCATCGTCATAAATCGTGAATAACACTTAACTTGGTGTATCGAAGTTTGTTGATTGTTTAACGCTGCACTCAGCAATATTCCAGCTATATGATGATGGTCTGTAAATAATCGAGTCTGGGCCAGACAATCCAGTGATTGACATCATAAGCATCGATCCTCGCAATTAGGATACGATTACATGCATCAACAAATTCAGCGAGCCTGACCACCTGATCCCGTTGGGGCCTCTTTCGACAAGCATTGGTTTCTGAAGACCTATTCCTGGTTGGATATTCACGATTCTGTTACGAAGTTCACTATTTTTTGATAACACCATACGTCATGGTTTGTTTATTCAATATATAAAGTATTGGTGGCGCAGCAATCTGAGGGGCTTCAATTCGCTACATATGCACAACTGTGTCCACAACCGGGGGTTCGAATCCCAGATGTGCTTCGATTATGACCCCAGTTTTTTTCTCCATCACACCCGTGTTCGCGGTTTCAACAAAGTCATTGATCGTGGGTTCTTATCCCAGATGTGCCCCGATAATCGTATTCATGTGTCCGCGGGTTTTACAAAAATCAGTTGGGACTATTTCTCCGAAACAAAGCTGAGGCGTAGTGATGTAACAGCTCGTTTGTGATCCGTATTTGAGTATTTAACAGTAACCGCCATAGTTGCTCGCTTGATTTATTCATACAAAAAGAAAGATTAGTGCAAAAGTTCATCGTGAACGTAATTCCATGGCTTACACACCATCATATATCACGATCATGATGGAAAACAGATTATCACTGTGTCGCCGTTTATTTTCCGTTCACCCTACAGCGAATGGGTACCCGGTAGGATGAGATGATGACGTGAAACCTTCTAACGCCTATATGACAAGCAGCTTGTGCTGAGCATGTAATCATTATTTAAATGCACACTGATAGAGACAATATTCCACATGTTTGAACAATGACCAGTGCAAAACAAAGCCCTATTGCTCTTAATATAATATGGGCGGTGGGATAGCCTAGTGGTTAATGCCTTCGCTCGTTACGCGGAAGTTCTGGATTCGACCCACATGGGTACAATGTGTGGAACCTATTTCTTGTGTCCCCCGCAGTGATGCTGCTGGAATATTGCTCAAAGTGTCGTAAAATACTACTGACTCACTCATTTATTAATAACTCTTTCGTAGCATCCGTCGAACGAGATAACCATTCCTGGAGTGGAATACAATAATTATTATCATCCATGACTGAAACACAATAAGTAGATATTCAATCATCAGCTATTGCTCAGGACATCGGTATAAACACATTACCCGTCGAGATTTCAGCACAATAATATTTTTTTCAACGCCAATGGTTATCAGCGCACCGTACGAGCACTAGATGCTCGTCACGCCAAAGACCCGGGTTCGATTCACGACATGGGTACAATATATGAAGCCCATTTCTGGTGTCCCCCGCCGTGATATTGCTGGAATATTGCTAAAAGTGGCGTAAAACCACACTCACTCACTCAGATAATGGACTGACATTTCATAGCCAAACACAGCGAATGCTGAGGATACTGGGCAGATGTACAGCGATGTCAATACGCACATACATCTGATTGACAGTTGGTGTATATTGCATACTGAACTGACTGACCTCTGAAATCGAATACCACGTGGCATGTTTATTAAATACACAAACAGCTGGGGATCGTATTGCAGAGATGCCCTATCTGTATATTGTCTACCTTTATAAAAGGAATCTTAAAGGTATGAACTGCTGGGTCACCATACATCAAAGTAACCGACGCTTCGACTGAACGTATATATTCGATCAACTAATTTCGAAACGAGAGGAATCTACCAAATAATTATGCGAAAAGAACAAGTAAACGATATGACATCAAGTAAAGATGACACTAATGTGATTAATGTACATACTTCATTCATGACATCATCAAATGTATAACAGTAGCGACGTATATATTTGAATAATTTATCAATAAAGCGTATGCCATCTATGTCATACACCATCTGCTATTGTGACTGCATTTCACTTTCAAATCATTTCCCATGAGTCAGCACGTTAACTGGTCCATATGCAGGTTACCATGGAAACGTGAGTTATTAATCGGGTGATATGTAGAAATTATGATTAATCACATATTGCATATGAACGTGCCTCTCTGAAATTGACAACATATTCTGAACGGATGAATCACTGTCTGGTCCGAATTGGGATTGGTTGGCCACTGATAAGGATAGATAATAGTTCGAAGGATGATTATCATCTTCATCATTTATGACTCAATTGTGGTTGATGTTCAATCGTCGGTTTGTCTGCGCCTATCTCAAAAACCTGTTTCACTCATTTGTATGCGATACCAAAATTATACTTCAACCATATGAATAAATTCACTTTGTGTATAACAGTAACGCACTAGTACTAATTCATTCAACAAAACATGTCTGTTTTGTGCACAATAGAAATCTTCCGGTTTTCTTGGGGAGACGAAATTTGCATTGGAGAGTAAGCTGAAGACCTATTTTCTACCCGGATCTTCACGGGTAAATGTGGTGGTGGTGGTGGTCGGGTTGGGGGGTGGGGTGGGGTTGGGTTTTGAGTGGAGGGGGGCAAATCAAGGGTTAACGTAGTAATCAGATATACTTTCACAGCGTGTTGTTATAAAGGTTGATACCTAAACAGATTATATTACTAAATGATCCAACAGGGGCACATAATAGAACGCACAAGGATATACTACACGTTGTTGGCATACTTAGTGGGGAAATAGTTACCGTATATAACGTATGTGACGAACAAAGATATTAACTAAACGCGCAAGGTTAAAGTCACAATCCAAATGCGATACACGGGTAATCTACACTGTAAATAATGTTATATATAGCGGTTATATACTAAAGTAAGATTGTGAGAAATCATCTCAAATGAATCTTGATAAATGTCCGGTTACAGACACAAAGATGGCGAGAGGAGAAGCTGTCGAGAAGATAAGAATACCTGGTCCTCTTCAGTAAAATCAGATACGGTTTATGTACACTGATTATTCCCCAAAGCAATTGCAATAAGTGTAACTGTTCAGTGTTAATCAATCACAAAATATTGCAAATGTCCCATGTGTTTATACAGCCCGTGAGGAAGGATACGATTACCTAAGAAAACAGCAGGTGGATCTACCAATCGATCATTCCCTTAAATGTCAATCGCGTTTACATCGACCCTTGAATAATCTAAGAAAGAGCTTCGTTATACAAAATGTACGATGACTAAGGTGCCTGACATATACCACGGTGACAGGCTACACACACAAAGATGGCAGTGTTGGGTGGGGTGTTTGCGACGATGTCGTTTTTATCTGCCAGAATAGGTTTTTTTCATAAACTAGGCAAAGCTAAAAGTATGATTCTATTTTAAGGAGCAACAAAGACTATATTTGTTTCTTTTGTGCAGACCGAGTGTCTTACCCACATTAAAATGTTTGTTCATTTAATACCGTAGTACCTGTAATAAGTGTAGCCCTTATACTTCAACAGGGGCTTGCGGTTCAGAGAAGCGACTGCCTTAACTTAGGTTCAGAATATATCCGCTCCGATTATGACCAAGTGTTTGTCGTTATGTTTGTCGTTATGTTAGTCGTTATGTGACTCGTTAGTTCTACAAAAATGGCGAACGTCTGCAACTTCCATTTTTTAAGCTTTCCTCCCACATTAGACTGTCAGTGATATGAAATCAATGTAAACATGTTCAAACCAGTACTAAACCACTAACTCACCTTACTGTACTACAACGCTTATATATATATAACTTTGTCATTGTGGGTGATCATTTAACATTATTCTGGCAATATAACGACAGGAGACAAATAGAATGGATTCAACCGATTTTACGTATTAAAGGATTCGTGAAGATCCAAGGCGACTATCGGGATCGGGTGGTCAGGCTCGCTGACATGAT